GTTGGACTTCGGTGATATGAGACTGTGGTACTTACCTGATTGGAGACTTGGAGATTGTTGAGGTTGATACTCGGCTGCATCACAGTTGGACACCGGTTACATCTGGACTCGGTTATCTCCGACATTGGTGACCCTTTTGTCCTCGACATTTTGATCTTGTTGTATGACATTTTGGACTACTACTTCGGAGACCTACCGGACCCTATCTTGTGACCTATCGGTGTGATCTACCTCCTACCTCCTTCGTCTCTCCTCCCACCTTTCATCTGTGCATGTGTGTACGGGATCTGGGTATCTTCTATGCATGACCCAGACCCCACCATCTCATGATTGTATGTGTGTGGAGTGATGCCATGTAGGTCAGTCTATGTGAGTCAGTCTATGTGAGTCAGTTCGTTATAAGACTTCCACTGCAAAAATACTCATCCTATATTGGTTGATTCTTGGTTCTGCCCATACTCATTGGAGTATGTAACACTACAGACCTCTAGCCTAGCAGTTTCGACCTCTATACAGCTCTAACCCCTACTTGACAGATCTACAGATCGAATCCCTACAGCTACAGGGACCTACGACAAAGAACAGTCACTACTAAAACACAGGTTGCGGGCTCAAAACACACAGGGGTGTACTTGATACTGTATCGGACCCTGGGATCTGCATCTGCTTCTGCAAAGGTGAAAACCGTTTCAAATGGGGGCATGCACATGCCCTGTATATTTTGATCGTCAGCAAGTGTGATCCTGTGTGCTGCTCTGCATGCCAGTCATGGGTTACGTAGGTTCTCACTTCTGAGATAAGGCAACTGTAGATAAGGCATGTTGGGCATCTGTAGATAAGGCAACTGTTGTGCTATGTATTGTGACATGATCATGTCCATATACGCTCACTCTTGCGTCGAACTTTGTTGCACTTGTGCTGTTTCCACATTCCCGTGACATTGCGTTCCAAGTTCCAACTCTCTGGATGCTCTTGTCTGTCTTGTAGGATGGTAAAATTGGTGCTGATGATGTGTGTCTGTGTCGTCGGGGTCCTGCAAATTGCAGGCTCATCCAGTGGAGCTCATCCTTGAAAGCAGTTGTGCTACAAGATTGAAGGAATCGGGAAAACAACACACGCCTATGGAATGCAGTTACAGCGTTCCAGACACCGGTATTAAGAAAGACGAAACAATTTGGTTAGTGTTTCTTTGACACTCCTGCTGGCTTCCTTCCTTCCAGGTTAGAAGTTGCAATAGTAAACACCATCAACTGGCATCAAGATAATTGAGAGGAAAGAGGGCAACAAACAGTAACACCTGCCAGCAGGAAAGGGGTACAGCCTCTGTCATGTCACAAGGTGCTAAATGCCTAATTGTCTACTGATGGAAAGGGAAGGCTACAATATGGTGGGTCTCTGTCAAGTGCAAAGCTGTGTGGATTTTTAAAAAGCACCACAAATTCTCTCTCTCATTCCCTCCACAAATCATAACAAACCAAACCATCCATAACGTTAAAGTTCAGATAGACAGTATAATAGAAAATGCAAGGTTGGCCACGTTTGTGTGGTTCAGCGCCAAGTGCCCACACAGTGTGTGTTTGTGTGTGTGTGTGTGTGTGTGTGTGTGTGTGTGTGTGTGTGTGTTGTCATGTTCGCTATACACAAGTCCACACAAAAAAAGCATGACTCTGTGTGTGTGTGTGTGTGTGTGTGTGTGTGTGTGTGTGTGTGTGTGTGGATGTGTGTGTGAGAGAGAGAGAGAGAGAGAGAGAGAGAGAGAGAGAGAGAGAGAGAGAGAGAGAGAGAGAGAGAGAGAGAGAGGCTGTGTTTGTCTTTGACTGTGCCATGCAGGACATGTGGCACCATGAACCCAGAGGACTGCTCAACCTTTTGCTGATGTCTCTGTTGCATGCACACATGTGTGCCCTGCTGTTCTGATTCTGATGCTTGCATTACTTGATACTCTTGTACATGCACCTCAGCTGTGGTTGTGATCCATTGTCACAGATTCTTCATCAGGTTCATTGAATATATTCACACCCTGCACAGTGAACTTGCATTGCACTATGATGAGACCATGTAGTGTGATGTACCGAAAGGCGAAGTGAGTTGCACGTGGACGCCTCCAAGGTCTGAATTGCATTTCTCTTTCTTTTGACTTGCGTTTTCCTCCTCCACCCCCACCTTCCCCCCCCCTCCCTCCCTCCCCTTGGACTTGCTGTTCCTTGCCACCTTTGCTCCCCACCTGATATGTGCAGGTACAGATGCAGAGCTACCGTGAAAGGACTGCGGAATTCGGTGGAATCATAACCCTTGGATTGCCGAAGGGACATTTATTGCATTTATTGCATCGCAGGGAGGATCTTTGACCTATGTTCCTTATGGATAAAGGATTAGATTCATTAGAATGGATTACACCATTTTCTGAGTGAGTGCCTATTGCTCATGCGTGTGCCTCCTACGGTCCTCAAGAAAATAGGTCCCATCGCAACCAACCGTGAAACCGAAACCGAAATAGTTTTGTATCTTCTGTCCCCTGGTTTATCAACATTGTTGTACTGTAATTGTAGCACGATTTATTATTTATGCTCTTTTTGGCTTGATCTGCAGGCTTTTCGCGTCTGTTGTCTGCATCCTGCTCTCTTCTGTTTGTATCTTTCTCGATTTATGTGTGTCATCCTTCCACAGGGGTAGCCTTTTTTTCTCCTCCCTATCTCGTTTGCTATCATGCTATCTTTAGCTTGTGTGTTTTGGAAGCTACATCATCTCCACACTGTAAAAATCATCACAAAAGTGGACACCGAACTTGATATCTGCTGTTCCTGGCCTGTGTATTGGGGGGCTACAACATCTTTCCCTGGCATTGCGAGCATGGTGGTGGAGCAGATCTCTGCCCCCAGCTGGAGGTGCAATGATCATGCTGTGCATGTACAGACGAGGCCGCCTGTCTAGGAGTCGGTAGTGGAGATGGGAAAATGTCCGCATTGAAGAGGTGTCTGTGACGACCAATCCTGTGACGGCCAATCTGACCGTCAATGTGTTAATGATGTCAACGGTCGAGAAAGAGAGGAGGAAAAAGAAGAAGAAGAAGAAGAAGAAGAAGAAGGAGAAAGGAAGGCAGTAGACGGTGTGGATTGCGTGGAAGAAGATGTAGGTGAGGGATCTAGTGGTGGGGGAAGGGGGCGGCCAGTGACTAGCTGCCCTTTCCGCTCGACCTCTCATCTCTCTTTCTCGTAAGCCACGCACCACACATGATTGGGCCGCAGTTGTTCGTTGGTCTGTAAGGGAACGCATTCTGTAGCAGCAACAGCAATAGGTTTATTGCAATCATCCTCTTCAGCCACTTCAACAATATTCGTGTTGTCTGCTACGGCAGGTTGAGTTTCTGCCTGGACTGCAGCGTCCACATTAGCAGTCTCCGGGCCGTTGGGAATATAAGATCGGAAGGGCTGGGCCGGAGCGTCCCGATGTATGGAAGATTGATGCTGCCTGGGGCCGGAGAGTCCCGATGTAAGGAAGATTGATGCTGCCTATGTTCAGGATGGACAGTCAGCAGTAGATGGGCAACTGACGAGGGAACCGTGCGGCAAAAGCGATTCGCAGCCGACGATGTCGGCCACTCACATAGGCAGTCCCATCCCTGACCAGGGCACTGGGGGGTGGCCTTATAGCGAGAGCATACGCAGTGTCAAAGAAATCGATGCAGCTGAGCGCCACTTCTGCGGAGTCGCACAACAGGACGCCAATGTGTGTCCTCATCTCGTCACTGATGTGTGTGATACGAACCCTCAGCAACCAAGCTTCACACCAAGACACGTTTTTCCCCAAAGAACAGACTCAACATGGACTCCGAGAGATGCATTCTAAAGCTTCCCAGCCCAGTGCACTTTTGAGCATAAGTCCCAGATGTCCTGAACAGGGATAGTCAACAAAAGATACTTAGATCATACCAAGGACATGACGTAGGAGAACAACAGACAAGATAAAAGGGGTTAATGACTGACTTTTTCGTTGGACTGTGACCAACTAATCACCCGTAAAGTTATGTGAACTATTTTGAAGTTTGAACCCTGTGGCGAGTGGATGGCCAACCACACAGGTGACAGCGAAAGCAGCAAGGCAGAGCAGGCAGCACCACAGGCAGGTGGGTGGACGGTGGGCAGGCAAGTGGAAAGGCAACACAAGGCAAGTGCGTAGGAAGCCAGGCAGCGGGGCAACGGTAAAGCACAGGGAGGAGAGGAAAATAAGTAGGTTAGAACAGTGGAATCATAATTCGCATGTCGGGGGTTCGAACCCCTCTTCCGCCAGTCGTCTAAGGGAAGCAGATGGGAAAGGCGAAGCAGGCAGTGATAAGCAAAGCAGCAGAGTGGCAAGGCACCGTAAGGCAAACCGGTGAGCGGCATGGAAAGACAAGGCAAGCTGACGACGGGAAGTCAGGCAGCAGGGCGGCACTGACAAGGAAGTCCATGCATCCAACACCTGACTCACACTACTGTATAACTGTACAGAGTCTACAGACTGTAAGTTCATCAACAGTAAACACACAGGGACACAGGCACCCTCAACGCAGAAGCGCCTGTAATTGTGTTGCGGAAACAACTCCACACAGAAAGCACTGACTCTTTGGCACATCTTATAAGGGTGCTCACGTAGATGGAGGAGAAACACCGGAAAATACTAGAGGCCACACAAACTGGACAACACAGAAAATGGAAGAAAATAAATGATATCATCCAGCTATTGTAATTTGTAGATTATCTGATTCTCTTTTTTTTTGTTTGTGTGTGTGTGTAGGGTGGTGGTCGTGGAGAGAGAGAGAGAGAGAGAGAGAGAGAGAGGATGGTGGCAAGAATCTCTGTGGGAGATGATGGTGTGTGTGTGCAATGATGTAATTCTGTTATTCTAACTTGGCTGGGGAATAGGAACCGGACTGATGCTCTCCAGAATGAATATGGAGCCAGGACCATAAGGACCTGTGTTATTAAAAAAAAAAAAAGGAAAGAAAGAAAGAAAAGAAAGGGAAAAAGAAACAATGTCTTTCGTCATTCATGTGCAAGGCATAAGGCCTCGATATGCCCTACAGGGCCTTATTTTCAAGACAGTCAGCCGCCCTAAGTGAAGGCAGGCTCAACCGAGGACTACAGGCCATTTTCGGGTCACCACGCAACTTGGGGAAATTCAGGCAGTTGCGCAGCGCCAGTCGGTTGAGAGCGCCCAGGCCCAGGTTGCCTCTTACGAATGTAGCTGAGGGAGGCCCTGGGCCAGATTCGCGACATGGGCCGAACACAGGCCGCGGGCAGTTGGACACGAGCAACCACCACAGGCCCAGGGCCTGTTTCGTTTGGACTGGGGCTCAGCCTCTCTGGGCCTACCGGAAGCTTCTGGGCAGGGGCCCAGCGCAGCCAGGCTGCACGCAAGCAGGCAGGCCACTTTCATTTAGGAAAGTGCCTGCCCGCGCATTCGGCATTCGGGCACTGGCTGCATGCTGCGCAAGCGCTGCTGCGCTAACGCTGGCCAGTGCTCACGCGCTCACGGGCGAGCTAGAAGGAGCAGGCAGCCATAGCCGAGCTGTGCTGCTGTATGTTGGATGGGGCGCATAGTGGTCCTTGGGTGCATGTGACATCTGTGAGTTGGGGATCGAGGTTGTGAGTGATACGATAGACATGCCTGGTGCTTGAGGCGAATGGCATTGGCCGAGATCTGCTCGTACTTCGGGGAGCTGTTGATGTCATCAGCGGCATTGTAGATAGGCTAGATAGGATCTGCCATCTGTAGTCTGGGCGCCGAGCGCCAGATAGGATATCGACATTGGTTCCTTGTTGATGATGATGAGACTATTCCGGATTGTCAATTTATGAGCTTTTGCTGTGCTTTTATTTGGTGGAACTCGTGATGCAATTCTGCTATTGGTTCAAGGTCACGACTATCTGGTCTCATGTGTATGATGCTGTTTGATTTTTGAAGTTCGCTATTGCTCATTTTCCTTGCAAATCCGTATTGGAGCTGTGGTACAGTGCGCTCATCTGGCGCTTGTCTTCTGCCTATGCGGTACATGCATGCGGTCTGCTAGGCGAGCGACCTTTGGGAGTGTGTAGTGAGGAGGGCGAAGTTAAGCAGGCGACCCAGGTGGACAGGGGATTGCCAGGAAGGCTACGTGGTGAATATTGGGTGTTCGCAGTGTGATGAGAACTATCTGATGTGCGATTGATGCTGAGGTGAAACGGCGGTGTAATGCTGGTTGTGCTGAAGCAGCGATTGGTCATCACAATCGGCATCGGGTCATCTGGTGAGAATATCTGTGGTTGGGGGCAGCTATTTTGAGGTACGTTGCACCTAACCTTATCTACCTTCTTCGACACTTCTTACCGTGAGGATGTGTGTTCTGTCTTGAGAGTCCTCTCATGTGAGGAGTCGAGTGCGCTCAACCTTGAGAGTCGTCAGTGTTCACGTGGAGCATCTGGAAGCAGAGGGTGGTGCTATCTGAAGGGCCCTGGACGAAGCACTGCGTCACGGTCACCATGCCAACCCACCGGGAGTAGAGCACACATGCTTTGCTGCTTTGTCCTTTGACTGCTCACTGCACTATAGAGGGGTTCTGAGGGGCAGGCCAGCCCTATCGGAAAGACGAGTATCGGACGTCTATAAATAAGTACCGGCGGGGACCTTCCATTGGCTGTGATCGCCGTCCTGTTTGCGACGTTAAATAATTCTTGAGGACTTCGGAGGCCGTCCATAAAAACGCCTCCTGATCAGCCAATCGGTCGGTGTAAGGCTCGCTGCACGCAAGGATAAATATGGTGCAGGGCTGGCCAGCTCAGCAGGACTCGGGGCACAGGGGTGGGCCGTGTGCACACCTTTAAACACGCTCGCTATTCCGGATTGCTCAGGGACGTTGACGACAAGAGCCATTCAAGAAGAACTGAGGGAGGGGTAGATTCCAGGTGACAAGTTCGGGCCAGATTTCATTATGCAAACAAACCCAACAAATGATTCTTTTTTTATTTTGATTAGTTAGATGTACAACCATTAACATATGACAGACAACATAGTTAGAACTGTTTTTTGTTCATTGTGCTTTCTGTTTGCGAACTAGTCAAAGTCAAAATAGTTTCGTTTGTAGGAATCTGCACTTACCTGTTGGACCCAAATGTATATACTCTGATTTGGCCACCGATTAATTATTTAATTATTTTAAATCGGTCTGTGCACTATGCTGCGGTAGGCATCAGAGAGTGCCCTAGTGCAGATTGTGTATAGTTTTGTGGCTTATGAGCGACAGGGATACCAGTAGCGAGGATGACAGGATCTTGTGATCGGCTAGACGCCCGATAGCCCACTTGGCCTTAGGACCAGAGGATGACAGGTTACTGTTCCGCCGGCTTAGGGAGAGGCAGCAGCAGCAGCGGAGAGCTAGGGCAGCAGAGGCCAGCAAGGCGTTCGCAAGTGAAGTCGCTACTTCAGCAGCCATGGCAACTGCTGCGCAGCAGAGCTCCCAGGCCAGCAGTTCAGGGACCGTAGGGTCAACGATTTCAGGGACCGTAGGGTCAACGATTGCGCAGACCTCGAGTCAGTCCAGTGGCGTTATGGCAAGGCAGTCAATAGT